ATGAAATTATAGTATTATAATTGTTCAGGGCGGAGGCCTTGTGGAGGAGTCTAGGGGGGAAAGGGGGTTTGGATAGGTTTGTTGTAAATGAACAACATAGAGTGCGACGAACTTTCGGACCGGCGCAGTAGTAGAAGCCTTACTGGCTAATTACTTCGGGCGATGAGATGAATGCTGACCCCCCCCCATAATTCCCATAGTGTTGGGTCCTGAAGGTAATGCAGGATTAGATCATCAACAATAGTGCTATTCCTTGGGGCTACTTCTATTGGTTAGAGTGTTCTGTTGTATACTCTGCTCTAAAACCCTAAACCCTAAACCCTAAACCTAAACCCTAAGCTATATACCCTAAACCCTAGACCCTAACCCTAGGACCCTAAGCCATATACCCTAAACCCTAAACCCAAAGGCCGTAAGCAAGTGTTCAGAGGAGATCTAGACAATTCCGAGAGTAGCCCTGCCTGAAAGGTTATACAGCTGATGATATGAATCCTGGGCTTAGGGTTTAGGGTTTAGGGCATTACCGTAAGGACCCTAAACCATGGAATTATGGTCTATTCCTTATTATGGGAAATGCAGGCTTTATATCATCAACCGTAGGAGTCTTCATTTTCTAGTCGGGGTTGAACAACTCTGCCTCTGGTTGTCATTCTTAGGGTTTAGGGTTTAAGGCCGTACCAACTAGAAGCGGCCCTGAAAGTCCTAAACCCTATAAGCCCGAAACCCTCATCTGCTAGATATCCCGCCGCAGCCTGTGACAACCCCGTTTTTTGCATGCAACGATAGAAAAGACTGAGCCCCCTGATCCTGTAAATAAATCTGGGTTTGGGGTTTAGGGGTTTAGGCATCAACGAGGCTGCTCTTGAACATGGTTTTCTTCTAGGAGCAGCAGTTAGATTCCGTTCACAGTAGAAGCCCTCCAAATAGCCCAAAGAAGGTACTTTTTTATAGACTTTAGACCCCAAAGTAGGTGCTATTTGTATACTTGGAGCCCTAGGGTTAAGGCAAAGTATAGGGACTCACAGCACTCATCATCTTGAATCCATATTCCAACTTTCTGTGGGATTCACTATAAGGGTAGTTCTCTAAATTAGGGTCCCTTTTTTGGGTCCCCAATATAGTACGGCACCCTTTTTTTTATGGACCCTAAAAGGGACCCTAATTTAGAAAACTACCCATAATCTCCCTGGGACTCCAAAAAGCCCAAAGTAGGTACTATTTACAGACTTTAGACCCCAAAGTAGGTTCTATTTGTATACTTGGAGCCCTAGGGTCTGCCACTAAGAGAAGCCCCGACTAGGTTCCTAGACCGCGGGGCGGCAGCTTGCGTGCGCTCTCGCGCGCGCCGGTGATCGCTCTTCGGGAATCCTGTGCTGGGAGCTCAGAGACCACTCCGATCAAGACTGCATGATCTATAGGGGCCTGTATGAACTTCCAATATTAAGTCCTATGGGTTCCTGGTTACTTAGAGCTGTGCTATAATATGCCCCCAAACCTTATTCTACCATATGAAGGCCCCTATGTTAGTAGGTTTAGGGTTTAGGCTTCCTGGGGGCTAGGATTGAGGGTTGATGTTGCAGATCTTATAGGTTAAAGGTAACGGGCTCATGCATTAGAGTTTGGAAGGTCTAAGGTGAAGCGGGGTTTAGCAATGTTTTGATAATTTCGGACAATGTACGGACATGAGCTTAGAGCCTTCATCTGATCGGAGAGTTGCTGCAGTATTTGCCTTCTCTGCCTTTCCAGCGATTCGCTGTCACAGAGCGTGTTGCTGCAATGATCCGAATCTCCCCCAGCATCCACCTTGAGCCCACATCGTGTTCTATAGAGGCTTTCATAGCCGGAACGGGGCTAGCGTGGGAAGAGGGATTAGAAGGGGATACCAGTACTAATGTAGGGGCCTTTGTAATTACAATAGGGTTTTGGGCCCATTATACTATAATTATAATAAGGGACCCCCAGAAATGGTATAGGCAATTATCTAGGCCCCTATATTACCAAGTATCCCGATCCCTGTATTTCTTCTGGTCTGCTCAGGTACATGCAGCCGGAGCAGGTGTTGCCCAGAGACTCCAATATCCCTTAATTATGGAATATACCTTAAATCATTTTAAGGAACCTACTGTAATTTAAGGAATATTCCTTAATCAAGGGATATTGGAGTCTCTGGTTGAATGGAACATATGTTCGCCTGCGCCGCAGACCACTGCGCGAGTTGTCAGCGCGCATGGGCTTCCAGGAATCTTTTAATGCAGACGGATTTCGGGTGAAACCCCGAACCCCAACCCCTACAATACACCTGAAACCGGAGCGAGGGTTTAGGGTTTAGGGTTTAGGGTGTAGGGTTTGAATTACCCTGAGCCCTGATTCCGGGTCTGTTATGCCAAGTCTGGAGGACCTTCAGGGTGCACAGATACGGTTGAATTCGCTGCGAATTTACAGTAGGTATAGCAATTGCAGCCCTACTGGGATTGCGTCTTTTCGCCTTCATGAAAGCCCTGCTTGCTGAAGCCTAAGCCTGCACTAGAGGAAACTGGGAGGGGCCA